TCCCAGAAATCGATGCAACGTCCTCCTCTTCTTCGGAGAAGGATCCTAACTCTTCAATGAATCACAACAAATAAGGGCATAGTATTTGAGATTGAAACAATGTATCTTTTCTAACTAGAGTGTCTCGCCAGCATTGCAGAAAGTCAGATGTAGATTTTAGAGGTGTGGAGAAAATAAGTCAATCTGATGCTAACTTTATGATGTAAACCATGGCATCTTTGATTAATTTTGATTCTTGTTCTCTGATACAATGCTTCTGTTCTTATTGCCTTAATTGTGTAGCCTTTTTTTTTGTTACAATAAAACAGTTTTGATGTGCTCGTTATATTTGCTTTATTATTTAAATTAAGGCTCTACACCCGACATTTTTTGCTGAAAACTGTAACTTAAATTTGGTGTTTAAGCTTATGTTAATCTAATATTTCTTGTTTCAGTCCTCCAAAATTTTTAGGAGTATTGCATGTAGGAAATCGAGTTGTTAGAGTTAGGGTTGATGTTGATAAGCCTATGACATTTATTTTTTAATTTCCTATACATGGATAGAGTGAGGATTACTCTTTTATCTCTTGCACAAAAGGTATTCAATCTACCCCGACAAGTCTTTTTCTTTGGAAAACACTTGGAATCATAAACTAGAGGGCCTTACCTAATCAGGTTGCTTCGGCCATTTATAAAAATTTAGTACAAGAACTGTTCAACTTCTTATATTTGGATGAGCTGTAGTGCAAAATGCTCCTTGGACAACCATGAATGGTGATGATGGAGGAACCTATGTAGGTCCCTATGTATGATGGGGTTGGAGCGACACAATTCCTAGAGATAGCCTTGATACAGTTAATTTTCTTACATAAGCTTTGTGGTGGTTGATTGTAGGGAAGGTCTTGGGGGAGATGATTGCATCAAAATAAGTCTGTGATGCAAGTCTTGTTGATACTGTAAGTTTTGTTAGAGATGACTATGATGTTAGGGAAATTGTGACATGTTTTGAATAATAAGATCTTAATGCAGGTGAGGTTGCAATGGAGGTCTTATTAGGAATGGTTATGTTGCAAGAAAGGTTGCAGCGTTAGTTTTTATGGTCTCATGTGTGCTATGACAGTTTTGTTACAAACATCATTACAGCACAGGGGCAGATTGATCATTTATCCAGAAATAATTGCAAATTAGCTGTTTTTCAATAGCACAAACCAAACAACCAATCAGATTATCCGGATCAGCTGTTGATCAACAGTTTATGTGGATCACCTGCTTATCAGTAGCTTATTAATAAGTTGCAGCTACCTCAATCATAAAATAAAGCAAGAGAGTTGTTTTGGGGAAGATTTGCAAGTTGTTTTGGGGAAAAAGTAAATTTTTTGGAAGCTGTAATAGGTATTTATTTATTTTTCTTAAATTTAGAGGTTTTTTTTTATGACCACATTTTGTTAAATTTTAAGAATATTTACCAATTCATATGTATTCACATATCAAACACTTCAGATTTTTACATGTATACCATTTTATCTACTGCATGACATGGTGTATTTCATTATCTTGAAGTCAATTAGTGGTGTTTTTTATGCGATGGGAAATATTTGGGTTGTGGTATAAATGCAAAAAATAAAGTTTAGGTGTTAGCTTTTGTAAATACATAAAAATTAGCTGGTGCGTATGTAAATTCCCCTGCAAGCGACGTCAAAACTTAGAGCAAAACTTATTGTCATATAATTACTATCACTATTACTTTTATGAGCTAAAACCATAATTATTTGATGCAAACACATCTGAATGTTAATGCGCTTTTAAATAAGTAGTCCATTAACTCAATTTGTTTTCAAGACTGCTCATGTATCATTATAATTCACAAGGGTATTAACATCATTATTGAATGTATATACTATAATAGCGCTGTAAATGAGTCCAGTCGAGCTTGAGTCACTCTTTGCTTGGGTTTGAACTTGATTAAGTAATCGAGTTTGCGCTTGAGCTTAAGTCTACGGGTTTGAGCTTACACGAGATGGCCTGTTTATTATGAAAGAAAGTAATATTAATTTAAGCTATTGTTGTAATGAGTTGACCAATAAAATGAATAATTGGGAGGTAAATAATAAGAAGTCATTTAATATAAATTATTATTTTTGATATAAAGATGAAGTCTTGTCATATATTTTGAGTATATTTTATATTAATATTTTTTAAATGAGCCGGCTCATGAGGTAATGAGTTGAGTCGGCGCTGGCCTGAGTTTGGTTTATTAGTTCCTTGAGCCTAACTCATTAGCCATTTATTGAGTCAAGCTGAGCTGGCTCAATAGTTGACTTGACTACTAACAACCCTACTTACAACATTAAGAGCACTTAAATTTATAATTTTTTTTCCCATCTTGTACATAATAGACCCATAACATTATCATTGTCGGTTCCAAGCCTAGATGTGAAAAGTGAAGGGTTGTGTTAGTAAGTCAATAGCCAGCGTAAAACTAGTAGAAAAAATCATGACATTAATCATTTGGATCATTGTGTAAGTGCTAGGGTGTTCTCTGGAAGGGATGCACTGTATGCCCTAAATATAGTGAAAAGTGCAAGTGCTGCTACACTGGCGACCGGGTTTAGTATCAAATAAGCAAGCGTTACCACATTTCAGACAGATGCAGATAAAGAAATTAGTTCGTGAAACTAATAAAACAAATATTATGATAGGATCTTGAAATATAGGTATCTCAATGATAAATTAATAGAGTTTGGAATATTATGATTCATAGAAAGATTAATATCTTATTTATTCAAGGAGCGAATGGTTGGAGAAAAAACTAACGAGATTGATAACTTAGATTTTAAACTTTGTTATTATAGTAAGAGTCGCACTATAACCTAAAATCTAATCAAATAAATTATAATCAAACTTAACCTAAATCCAATTTAATTTAAAATTAATCAAATTTAATTCTAAATTGAATTAAAATGAATTCAAACCAAATTTGAGATTAAAATTGAATTTATATTAATTTAAATTTAAATTGAGATTGAATCAAAATTGTGTTTAAATCAATTTAATCTACACTAGACATTAATCTATAATAAATTTAAATTATGCTCAACAGTAAACAAGATAAACTTAACCTAATAAAAACTATACAGTAATTCAAGCTAAGAGTAAGTCAAATTCTTATCTAAATTAAACCTAAATTCAACTAAATTTAAACTTATGCCCAAACAGACTCAAGTCAAATATACTCCAAACCTAAAGTAAAACTATTAAAACTTAAATTAAATTAAATTAAATCAACTTAACCTAACCTAAATCAAAGATCGATTTAATTAAACTTAATCTATCTAAAACATTCAACATGTCAAATTAACTCACCTAAGCTATCTAGGGCGATGTGCCACGCTTCTTTGATGCGGTGCCTACACTACTAGGACTAGGAAGCTAGAAATAGTAGAACATCATTTATGGTGAGTCATTCTTCATATCACTCATTATAACTAGCACTCTACTAATAACATCTCTATCTATATCACCATCACTTCAAATATATGATCTGATCGATGCATTCCTATTATTCAACCAAGAAACTTTAATTCTACTAAGAACATCCCCATCTATATCACCATCATTTTGAACAATAAACCTCATCAGTGCATTCCTCCACTTCAACCATCCAACGTGAATTCTAGTAATAACATCCGCTTCTATATCACTATCAATTTGAACAAGACCCGATGCATATATTGCTTTACTTCAACGAACTAACTTGAATTCTACCAATAAGTAAAAACATACCACTCAATACTTATGTATATACATAGCTAACACCCAAGCCTCAATTTTTATGAAGATTTCATGCATAACACTCAATTCTTATATATATACAAACCTAACCCATAAACTCATATATATATATATATATATAATACCTAAATATAAATAAGAATTGAGTCAAGCATTCACTATCTTGAAAAATTAATTATGAATGAACCTTGAATTAGTAGCTTGCTAGCTTGAATTTCAAGGCTGAATCTTAACATATATTAGAATTCAATTATTAAAATAGAATATTGACACAAAATAATTTAAAAATTATTTACTTTATTGTTATATATTTTAATTTTTTATTATTTTGCATCTAATTTATTATTTGTCTAATAATAATAAATAGAGCAATTTATTTTTTTATGTTAATTAATTATCTCGTCTTTTGTTAAGACAATTCAAATGACAGAATCGCTCAGTTTAAATAGTCTTAACTGCTGCATTTTATTTTACAAATAAAATCAAAAGGGTAAATTTGAAATAGATTATTTAATCTATGTTGGCAGTATACACCTATAGTTAAATTCCATGGATTTATTTAAATAATTATTTAAATATTATGTGGCCTCCGTTTGGCGGGCTTTGCATATCTAACATGTGAAGTTTGATATTAACACTTATAATAAATTAATGTCACATTCATTTTAAAAAGACAATTATATTAATTATATTTTAATGTGACATTAGGTAGTCATGTAAATATGAATATTTAGGTGTTAGATAATTCAGGTGTGGATCTGGCTCACCTCAATTCAAATTTTTAAGATAATTTAGTCATTTAGCACGTATGAAATATCAGTTTTGTTCTTCCTGAAATATTATTTTGTCTTTTATTGTCCTCGCTCTTTCGACGTTGGGTCTAAAGGAAAAGCTTGCCCCTCTCAAAAAAGATATGGGTTCATCCTATCTTACGATGTGTAAATATTTAAGAATTATGTGGCATTTATGTAAATGCCCCAGATACAAATAATTCCAAATCTAAAGGGGCTGATTGCATGCCGTCCCTATTTATTAATTTGGTAACGAGGAAAACGCGTTCTTGCCTGTAAATCTCTTAATTCCCAGTCTACCATATGGCAGCAGCACTGCGGGCATTGTTATATCTATATATATAGCAATGTCACTCTGTTATTTCTGCAATAAGAAGCTTAAAAAACCTGAACTGAACACAAAATAAGCTAATTATATCCGGTGGAGATAAGTGATACATGGCTTTCTCTAACCAGCTCTTCTTCCTCTTCCTTCTGCTCCTCTCCGTCGCTTCCAACACCCACGGCGCCGATTTAATCTCCAAAAAATGTGGAAGCACCCCTGCCGCCAACAACAGCGCCTTGCAAGCCAACATCAACAGCATCATTCTCGATCTTGTGACAAAGACTACAGCCAATGGCTTCGCCAACTCTACCTACGGGTACAAAAACGACGCCGTCTACGGCACGGCGGAGTGCCGAGGAGACGTAAACGGCCAAGTCTGCTCCGCATGCATCGTGGCCGCCGGGCAAGAGATACAAACATCATGCGCGAACACGACTGAATCGCGCATTTGGTACCATCAGTGCTCTCTTCGCTACAGCACCACCAACTTCATGGGGCAGCCGGACACGGCCCTGCTCAGTATGTTGCGCTCTACGAGTGCGCCGAAGGATCCGCAGGCTTTCAATAAAACATTAAAAGAGATGTTTTCAGTGCTGACGGTGGCTGCAGCATCAAGTGGAGAAAGGAGGAAGTTTGCGTGGGGGAAGATTGAGAGGCATGGTAAAGTCACAAATGAGGGGGCAATTATTACCGTTTATGGAATGGCACACTGCACATGGGACCTGGAGGAATCGCCATGCTCCGCGTGTTTGGGTGCTGCGTTGAGTAATGTGAATGAAGAATGGGATGGATATTATATTATGCTTAAGAGTTGTGCAGTCAGATATGAGGTTTATCCGTTTCTCTTCCTAAATGCAGCACCTAATCCTGCCATCGACACTGGCAATGTTACTTTCAGCAACATTTAACTCTGTACTTCCTACTCTGCCACACACTAGCATGAATCCCATATGCGATTTTACGACTGAAAAGCACTGTTTTTATGATCTGAAGTAATCAAGTGATCGAATTGATGTTTATGGTTATTAATGATGTGTTTGTGCCTGGAGACATGATTTTAATCATTGCAAGTTATTCAGATTGACATTGCTTGATTGTTTGTGCTTTGGGTTAGTTAGCCACTATTGATTTGTTAAGTTCCTATGTCTAAAATGATCAATACATTACTTATTTGTTGAATAGCCAATGAATGTATTTAATGAAGGAAAATTTGCTCATTTGCTTGGGTTGTGTTCTCTTCTTACTGCGCTAACTTTTTGAGGGATGATGATTTTACTGAATCATTACAACTTTACGATTTATTTCTTAGAATTATAAGTACAAATCTTTGTGATGCGTATGGAAATATTGATTTCAAGATTGGTTTTTGGCTTTTAAAGAAGGATTGACTTAAACTAGAAAAGTTCATGCCGGAAGCCAATGTAGAAACTTAGGGAAACGGGTCAACCATAAATATAGGAGACGACTTATCCTATGACAAAGTCGACATAGCAGCTTAATACCAAAAAATAAAATGAAATCTACCGATATGAGTAGAATGCTCAAAACAAATCTATATATGAGACAAAAATAGGACTAATGGACTTCACTCCCACAAAGAAGAGAAGTTCAACTTCACCCCACCTAGCAAGCTAGAGCTATAAGATAACTCACATTCACTTCAAAAACATGAGTTTAAGTCACATCCATGCAAGAAGTCAGTAGACTATCAGCTTCTTAGAAATATGTACTGTTTACAATTGGATCAAGGAGATCGAGCGCTCGAGGCACTACTGCACCTAGTGATCCCGACTATTTATATGCAATAGTATAACAATGTTTTTAATTATATTTTTCACTTATATTTCTTTATTTTGCAACAACACCAAAAACTTGATCCTGAAGAAAATAAGAATTTAATTTTTCAATTTATATATATATTGAGATACTAAGTAAGTATACGTATCGTTATCAAGTAATATAGAACTTTTTGATTAAGCCCCGAATATCGAACCCACGGGAAAAACATGCAATATGCACTATTGAACAACAAACTTTCTATTCCAAAAAGACATATACTTAAACTATAGATAATTTGGCAGTAATTAAAATTCAAATCTTTTTGATATTTTTGATATTTTGACAAAACAATAACAACTTCTAAATAACTTTAGTTTATGTAAAAGAAAATAGTTTATGTAAAAGATATCTTTCACCTTTTCATGAAACACAGATTATGAAAATACTGAATATGAAAATATTTTTCTTCTTTTTATGAATCAATAATAAGTATAAAAATTCTTTTGTAGAAGTATGAAAATTGTGTTGTGCCAAATAGGAGAGATGGGTCAGATCAAGAAGTAAATGAAGTGCATGGAATTAAATCATCACAACTTCTTCTAACATTAAAGATTAATACTCTCCACAACTTCCATCCAACACATTAATTACTTATCATTTTAAGGAGAAAGATAAATAAAACTACTCATAATCCATGGAATAAACAAAACCACACTTTAGTTTAAAAGTAGAAATCATTGTCAAACCAACAAGAAATCTCAATTAAAACTAAAAGTAGTTTAAAAATAAAGATAAAAACTTACCTCAAATCCTCTACCAAACTCTTGAAGTTACTTTGAATCTCTTCTCTTTTACAACACTCTCAACTCTCAAAATAAAACTAAAACATAAAGGATAAAGTAAATTTTATGTGGTGCCTGAATCTCTCCACACCTGAATCTCTCCACAAGATTCTCCACGATCTTCTCAGGACTTGGCACTCTCTCCCTCTTTAAGAACCCTTCTCAAATGTCTCAACTTCCTTCCTTTATAAATTTCCTAAGAGGTGCCTTGGAAACTCTTTAAAATGTGTCCAAATAAAATGTGTCCGGAAACTCTTTAAAATGTGTCCAAATTCGATGTATTCTCCAAAGGATGCCTCCTTTCACATGTCTTTTACTAATAATTTTGTTCCTAGTGGTCAAAGACACCCTCTTTAGCCAATAGGTGCCCCAAATGCCTCTTCAAAATTCAGTCAAATGAAGAAAACCGTCAAATAACTTTCTCTAGCGCTTAAGCAGTCTTCTCTTAGGCACCAAAACACTTAGACACCAAAATACTTTTGAACAAATTTCACATTTTTGCTCCAAATTTGATCTTTTTTTACTCTTTTTAGCATTTTTCAACTTTTTTACTTGTACCTGAAAGAAAATCACACAAATAACTTCTATTAAAGCGCAATATCTCAAAAATAGGTACAAAAATGTGTCTAAAAACACTATATATTTTGGTATATCACCTAGCTAATGCAAATATTTATGCTTTAGATTTAATTGGTTTTACTCGATAAAAAAATTTTATTATTATTGAAGACCGTAGAAACACATGCTATACATACATGCATGTGTGGAAAGACATTGATCTAAGGCCAATCATATACGAATGATAGGTTTCCTTGATAAGTGTGGTGATTACCGCGAGATATATCTCTCCTTTTCTGCATAATGGGTGACGTGCAAAGAGTAAGGAGAGAACCAAAATTTTTAATTGATTTTACTTGTTGAAGTTTTGGATTATGATTTTATTTTTATTTTGAGTTGTATTTTAAAATTTTGTTCCTTTTGTTAAGCTGGGTAGAAATAATAAACAAGGCTAGTCCTAGGCACACCACATAAAACGAAACTTAAGGAAAGATATGTATTTCTTTACCCAATCAAAGTAAAGAAGCCCAACAAAGCTTACAATATATACCAAAATAAGTCGGAGTGGCTAAGTTCCCTTATACATCCTGAAAGATAAGAAAAAAGGAATGCTAGCTCTGCCCATATACAACCCATTACAAATCTTATAATTAAAAAAATGGCCTATTGGTTATTCTCATCCTCCATGTTCAATCGGGTTCATCCTTCATAGTACGGGTCCTCCATGATTTGTAAGATATCACTCAGTAATGATTCATCCTCGCCCATTCTGATCACATAAGCTTTAACCTAGTTCTATGAATTACATTTGAAAATAAGAAGCCTAACTAAATTTCCACAAGATAAAGATTAATATAAAGCATACCACACTAGCAACATGTATGTCAAAAACTTAGCACCCTCAGACACCAAACTCCATGTTCCATTAGGTTGTGCTTATAGGGCATATGCAATAGCTAGTACCTTCAAAAAATTTTAGTTTAAAATTTAATTTTATTCATGTTTTTCCTTTTTCAGTTAGCATGATCTCTTATAGAAAATAAATGTCGAGCAAAATATCACCATAAATCCAGTCTACACAAGCATCAATCGACCCAGTGTCCATCTACAATTACAAACCAACAATACAAACAAAATCATGACAAACACAACGCCAACATAACACACACAACTACCATCACCCAAATTTAACGGATCCATTTCACTAATGATAGTTGGATCTTTAGGGGTGTTTGGCTGTAGGAATGATTTAACCTTAGTAAGATTTAGTAAATTCAAATTGATCAAATCCGCTCCCTTGCTGTATTTATAAAATCCGGATTTAACATAAATCGAAGGCAAAATTCGGGCTTTAAATCTGAAATTTTATGAATCCATGGAACTTGAGCTTTAATGGTTTGCTGGATTTTGTAAATCAGGCAATAAATCAGTATTAGTGTCTATGATAGTCAGTGATATGTGCTGATAAAATATGTAAAAGATCGTGAATTGCCTTACTGTTTATAGCACTTACATTTGCTTTTTCTATACACATTTGGTAGGTTGGTTGGAACATTTTTTTTATAGGGTCATTTACATACATACCACACAATTCCTATGTATTTACACATCTAAAACTGAAAATTTGCTTTTTTACATTTATACATTCAAATCTTTCACATCAATTCAAAAGTAATGCTATTAAATACACCTTTTGATGCATTGGTAGGGTGGCATATATGTGAAAATTGAAGTTTAAGTGTGACATATGTAAATAGATAAGAATTGAGAGGTATGTTTGAGACTTGTTGATTTCATTAGTTCTAGATTAATTGGAGGTACCCTCTACACCCAAAATATAACTCACCAAAAGATACAAAACCTGTGAAGGAGGTTCCTCCACAGAGAGGTACAACGCACTCAAAATCCACTAAAAAAGAAGAGTTTTCACAGCACATTATATGGGCATCAACAACAGTAAAAATCCCTTGTAAGTTCGTCGTAGTAGATTTTAAATCGTTGTAATTACTAGCGCTGCAAAGACTTTTAGCAACGATTTTAACTATTTTTATGAGTTTTTTAATATGTTTAGAACCTTTTTTTTTTAAAGCTTCTTTAAATAAGGGCTGTCAATTTTTTTTTAAGCAGCGGTCATAAAAGAAATTATATATATATATTATATATATATATATATATATATATATATATATATATAACCATTCAAAAAAGAAACTGTAAAAATTACAGGTTTTCAATTTTAATGTAAATTAAAAATACTTTATTGCCATGAATAAGTAAATGGAAGCTTTCATTAGTTTTCATGCCAACTTGAATGACTCCCTTAATAGCATTATGTCACCTCCCAGAAGAGCTCTTAGAGGTGATGAGCAGCCCATGACTTAAATACTGCTTTTCGGCCTTACACCTAATCGATGTGAGACTTTTCGTCCGTGACATTCTCCACCATCCAATCACGTGACGCCCTCGTCACTGAGCGGCTCCACCGATGGTCCTACTGGACCATGGAGAGTCCACACACCTGGCAGACAGTAATCTGCTCTGATACCACTTGTCACATCTCAAAAGAGCTTTTAGGGGTGGTGGGCAGCCCAATACTTAAATACTGTTTTCGGCCCTATACCTAGCCCATATGAGACTTTTTGTCCGTGACAACTAGCTCTGATAAAAAAATCATCAGATTTGTTTGCTTTCCGAAAAATATGATTCCAAGTACTATTAAAGTAGTGAAGTGGATTCCTTACTTTTGCCCAAAGAATCGAATTCTTCCTTACATCAGTTCAATATTATAGCCTAGGTTGTTGTCAAAATGTCAATTGAAAGCGGTGCGAATTATCAATGTCAATTAATGAGTCACCATAAGGATTATGTTTTAAAACATTGCATTGAAGTCAGTAGAGGAGTTGCCATTTTACATACCATGCATGTTAAGCTAATGAGCTCCAATAACATCTTGGAAGGATTTTATTAAGATAAATCTTGATTTAAACGGCACCTTAACTATATTTAATATTGATTTCATGATGAAGGATGATTTTCTTTTTTTATGGGATCTAGACTTCACTTATACAACTATTTCTACGAGATTTTATTCATTTAGATGTACACGCTGCTGGTGCTCTAGTGCATTTCAATCAAGAGAAAATATAGCCATGATTGAGGCTAGGTATCGTTTATCTAGTTTTAAAGGGGATGTAGCATTTTTGTTGGTGCCACCATGCAAAAAGTGTCATATTCTCCAAGGAAAGAAACATAAGATTGATCTTTATATATCATTGCCTATTCCTTACAAAGCATGAGAAAGCAAATGTTGATGGGGCCCTCTTGCCTTCCGGCATTGCTAGTGTGGGTGTCATCATTCAAGACGAGAACGGAAATTGCATGGTGGCTGCTAATCGAAAGTTGCTAAGTGGGATAGTACATGTATCGAACTCCATGTGATGTTGTTCCTTGCTTCTTTACTCAACCTTGGATGTATGAGCCACGTGGGATCATTGTGGAGGGGGACAACAAAAACACTATTGACCTTCTCCGTAGCACGTTGGATACGAAGACCTGACAACATGAACCTTCTCATGGGTTTGACTTGGGCTTTCTTAATTACTGAGTTCAAATATGATCTTTTTTATTATATATGTAGATCTAACAACACTGCTGCTCATTTTTGTGCTCTCTCTTTTAATGCAATATGCACCCCCTCATATATAATATATATATATATATACATATATATATATATATATATATATACATATATATATATGGGGTTATTTTAGTCTCAGGGTTTATAAAACTCCTAAAATAATCTCCATACTCTGTAAATTGGCGCTGAAATAATCCTCACGGAGAACTATTAGAACTCATTTTTAAAATAGTCAAGCACTACACTTCTATATAGTTTGAGACTAAAACGATAATAGTCGAGGGCTATTTTAGTACTTTTGAAATAGAACGGGCATTTACACGCTGATAACCCAATTCCAATGTATTTACATTTCTATAATCTAAACTTTATTTTTTATACTTATAATACCCAAATCTTATATATCACATAAAAGATATCACCATTTTAACTTTTAAAATTTCAAAAAAAACCTTCTTAGGTATAGGTAAAGTGACATACATGCAAAAGGCAAAGTTCACATATTAAATATGTAAATACATATGAATTGAGTTTTATGTTTGTAAATCTTTCAAAGTAGAATTGGTCAATTCGAAATTTGTTATTTTAGCTGGCTCTAGCTCTTTTATGCCCACCTTTTTGAAAATTTAATAGAACCTTTAATCTTTTTAGTTGTAATTACCTATATAATTGAATATGTTGGAACTAATTGAATATTATGTCTGCCTCCATTTGGCATTTTTGTTTTGTTGTTTTCATCCTAATGCATGAGATTTGAATTTTAGGCTGAACAAGCTCTTAGCTTAGTGTATTTGAGCAACCGAAGACGAAATATTCCAAATCTATAGAGTTGATTGTAAGCATGGTACATGCGATTTTATTTGTACATGTCAAATATCATGTGATCAATTGAGATAATTAGTCCAACTAGAAGACTAATTATATTATATTAATTTTTTGACCTACTCGTGAAATAACAAATAGTAGAAAAGGCCATTTATTTTGAACAAAACGAGAGAGATATATATAAATATATATATATATATATATATATATAGGGAAAAAGAGCAACTCATGACTTCTTACGCGTTAATAGAAAAAAAAGGTGGTTATAAATTTGGAAGAAAGAAGATTCCCGCAACAAAAAAAGAAAAAAATTACAGCGATTACAACAGTTCATAGGGGTTCTTCCTTCCACATTACAACTTCACCCAAAAAAAGGAAACAAAAAAATAAATGATAGATATAGTAGCTCAAAATTACATGTATCCAATCAAAATGCATACCCAAATAGTGTAGTATACCTATGTGAACATGTATAAAGGAGAAATTAAGTAAAGTAGTTTTCGAGCCTAAGAAAAGACATCCAAAAGACTGGGAAAGGCTTGAAAAAGCAGTTCCAAGAGGATTTCATACCAGCAGCTCAGAAACAGAGAAAACACCAGAGAAATAAAAGAGAATGTAAGTGATCAAAGTGCAAGAAACCGACGAGAGAGCCCCGCAACATAGAGCCACCAGTCCAGACTAGAGCAAAGGGAAAACCACGGCCGTTTGAGCACACAACTCTCCAAAGAAATTACCAAATCCAATCACAAATATCAGAAAGAACATAAGCAAATATGAGAGATCCCCCAAACTAACCCTCGGCATAATCCATATGTATTTTTATCAATTCAATAGATAATTTTTTAATTTAAAACACTTTATTTTGAATATTTTAGATAATAATCTAAACAAAAAATTTAAAGATATGATATATTCTTCTCTATTAATTTAAATAGTTTTTTTTCTAATAATCCTATTAAATTAAAGAGTATTAAAATCCGGTTCTTTAAAAATTAGAATTGGTCCACTTCCACGTAGACCAATTTGTTGTCTTTATAAAGTCTGCTAATCATGAAATCTTAATTAACAATCTAGCTGGTAAAGATAGCTAAAGATCATGGCTTTCTCATACCTTCTCCCCTTCCTCTTCGTTCTCCTCCTCTCAATTTCTTCAATCAGCCACGGCGACGATCTGATTGAGAAAGAATGCGGATCAAACTTCACCAACAATGACGCCCTGCAAGCCAACATCAACACCGTCATTCTCGACCTGGTTACAAACACTACCACCACTGGCTTCGCTTACTCCACCTACGGCTCCGGCAACGACACCGTCTACGGCACCGCGGAGTGTCGAGGAGACATCACCGGCCAAGACTGCTCCGCATGCATCATCAATGCCGGACAAGAGATACGAAAATCATGCACGAATACGATCGAAGCACGCATTTGGTACCAACAGTGCTCCTTTCGCTACAGCACCACCAATTTCATCGGACAGGCGGACACGAACTTGATCGGCACGTGGCGATCGATTGGCAGGACGACGGATCAGAAGGCGTTCAGGAAGGCATTGGAGGAGCTTTTTTATGTGCTGGCGACGGCGACGGCGACGGCGGCGGCAGGAGAAAGCAGGAAGTTTGGGTGGGGGCAGATTGAGATTCATAATCTCACAATCACGGAGGCGAGTGCTGTGTACGGAATGGCGCAGTGCACGTGGGACCTCGAGGAATCGCCATGCTTCAGCTGTTTGGGTGCTGCCATGAACAGTATAAAAGAAGAAAGGGATGGATCTTATATTATACTTAAGAGTTGCGCGATTAGATATGAGGTTTCGCCGTTTCTGTTCCTGAATGCGGCGCCTAATTATGCTGACATCAATACTCGCAATATTATTTTTGGCAATATTTAACAACTGCATTAGGGTTTGATTACTCCTTAGTGGTTTCTAAAACAACTTTGCTCGCATGTATGAATAAAGTGGTTATATGACTACAAAGTTTTGTATTTCAGATCTGAAGAATTAATAAAGAGTTTAGATTGATTCTTTGATTTTTATGATCATATGTTGATTGATATTGTTTGCATGTGCGATGAACTAGCTAGGTTTTGGTCAATAATCAATGAGTAGTGTATGTTTGATGTTATTTTTAATAAGGCTAGATATATCTCTTTAGCTTTTGAACTTAGCTCTTCGGACCCTTTTTTACATCTAAGACTCTCTGGATGGTTTCTTACTGACTTTTGTGGATGGCTAAGCCGAATTAAACTCCCCTTCATTTATGTTTAAGTGAAGTCGACCTCTTTATGTCCATTTATACGAAGTTCGAGAGTCAATAATAAGATCATGGTGAAACTATGGAAGTTAATTGAGATATATAATAACACACTTAAGCAGACGGAGAAACTTTGTTCACCTTAATGGACCCTTGGATCAGGTGAGCTCAGATTAGATTTAAATCTCTAAGATCCATTTTAGTGATCCTAAACCCTCTCTTGGACTTTTCTTTGAGTCAAAGAGACTTGATCAACCATATTTGACCAAGTCATGCTTTGGTGATCCTATGTGGACCATAAGTACTCTAGTATATTCTTATCTTAAGGTTTTGATTTCTAATTATCTTAGTAAAAAAAAAGTACCACTTGATCGAAGGGATGACCATAGAATGATGTAGATCATGTTATCGACATCCCTTTCTCTCTTTCCAATATTGATCATACTTTTAGTCAACTACATCCTATAAAAAGTCTCTCTTTCTTAGGATTAGTTCTCTCCTTCCTAGTATATGTATATAATTGGGTAGTCCTAGCTTGGCTAACTAGTTTTGATCTGGATGATTCAATCCATGCCCTATAGCCCCATGCAAACACCACTAGGCCTTAGATCATTCTATGTAGTTAGAACTTTAGTGGTCAAACCACTTAATTTAGAGCTTGTGGAGCTCAAATATTGCTTGAGGATGGTTTTGTTTAATGAATAAGAGGATCAATAGGGTTGCCTGGTTAAAATTAAAACCTAAGTTCACAAATTTAAAACCAAAAATTAAATTTAATCTGAGAGCTAAACTAAAACTTAACCTAAAATCTAATCAAACTTAATCTAAACCCAATTTAATTTAAAATTAATCAAATTTAATTCAAAAATTGAATTAAAATGAATTCAAACCAAATTTGAGATTAAAATTGAATATTAAAATTGAATTTATATTAAATTAAATTAAATTTAAATTGAGATTGAATCAAAATTATGCTTAAATCAATTTAATCTACACTAGACATTCATCTATAATAAATTTAAATTATGCTCAACATTAAACATGATAAACTTAACCCTATAAAAATCATGCAATAATTCAAGCTAAGAGTAAGTCAATTTTTTATATAAATTAAATCTAAGCTCAATTAAATGTAAACTTATGCCCAAACAGGCTTAAGTCAAATCTCCTCCAAATATTAAAACTTATATCAAATTAAATCAACTTAACCAAACTCAAATCAATGATCGATTTAATTAAACTTAATCTTTCTAAAACATTCAACATGTCAAATTAACTCACCTAAGCTATCTAGGGTAGTGTGCCACAATTCTCTAATGGGGTGTCTACACTACTAGGACTAGGAAGCTAGAAATAGTAGGACATCATTTATGATAAGGCATTCTTCATAACACTCATTGTAACTTAATTTCAAACTTGAACACAAATTAAAATTAAAACTTAAAAACTCAAGCACAAAATACTAGTCATTTAAATTCAAACCATCCAACTTTTTAAAAAATAAATATTAATTATTGAAAAAATTAAACTAAAACAATAGGATATTAGACTCATCATACCATATTAACCACACACTTTAGAAATTTTGTTAATCTACTAATCAAGATTTAGATTTGGGTGATAATTGTGTGTGTTATGTTGTTATTGTGTTTGTCTTGGCTTCATTTGTTTTGTTGTTTTGCTGTTGTAGATGGGCGCTAGATTGATTAATGTTTGCTTAGAATAGACGTTAGGATGATATTTTTAGCCTACTTATTATTTTCTATAGAAGATCATGTTGAGTGAGGGTAAGAGCATAAATAAAATTAAATTTTAAAATAATTTTTTTTGCTAATATGACATGAGGTTTGGTGTCTGAGAGTGCGAAGTCCATATGTTTTTGCTATACATGTTGCTTGTGTGGTATGTTGTATACTAATTTTTCTTGTAGAAACTTAGTTAGGTCTTTTATTTTTAAATGTAATTCATAGAACTAGGTTAGGGCTAATGAAATTAGGTTAAAAGAGGACGGACTACTGTTGAGTGATATCTTATAAAGCCTGGAGAATCCGTACCATGAAAGATGATACCCACTTGAAAATAGAGAATGAGAAGAACTTGTAGGTCTTTCCTTAATTATAAGATTTGTACTAGGTTACATAATGGTAGAGCTCGCATGTTGTGTTTCTTTTCTTTTGGGATATATATTGAAACTCGGTCGCTATTGGAACCCATTTTTTTTGCGACACATACGAGACATCCTCATAGAGTGACACATCACTATAATCGGGGTCTAAACCATCATAGTTGCGTCCCTAATCGATTTTTCTCAAACCAGCATTGCCTCTGACATCCTCTGCATTGATGTTTGTTCATGTGGCTGAGGGCTATATCTGGCTGATACAAGATGCAGATCATCAATGAAGTTACCCCACGCTGTGTTTGTACCTGAAGCCTAAAGTCCAAATAAATAGATTTCAAACATAGATAGTTAGTCCTCTCGAGCTCTCTTAAGATGCGCTCATGACCTTTATGAAGGTCTCAAAATCATATTTGCTGATATCTGATCCTCGAGAGGCCTCTTGAGGCTCATAACTCCCTTAGCAAGCATGTTAGGAGGCTTAAATTTTATGTGGTATGACCATGCCTAAACTGGTTGTGGCCACACCAAAACCTCTCCAAAGAGCTCAAATAAATTGCTTTCGGTCTGACCACACCGGCCAAATAGAGTTTTTGGCATAATTACTTTGCATTTGGGGTGTGGCCAGACCCAACTTTAAAGAGGTGCTCAAGTTCATCGATCGACTTGACCATGCCTAAAGGTGTCGTGGCGATGCCCACCAAACCGAGTGTCCGACACAATTACTCGGGGTGTTAGTCTTGACCACGCTGGGCCTCCATTTGTGATGAATGCTACAGTGGCGTGACCGCGCTCGAATGCAGATGGCCACACCGACAAAACCTATTCAGCAATTTTGACCAACGGTCCCTGAGTTCCCAACAGCGAGGAGGTCATGAGCAATATAAGGTATGTTAGGTATTTTATAATTGTACGCCTTTGACTCGAAAAAACTACTATTCAGTCGACTTGAGATTAGCCGGCCTTGGTTCGACAAGGACCGGTCATCCAACTGTGCTAAGTTGGAGTTGTCAGCCAGCTTTTGATGGTTTTCGTTTCAGATGGACTTAGCTCGACCGGTTTGATTCAATATGTCGGTCGGCTGCTCTACTACTGATTGTTGACTATTGATCCCTAGGCGAGGAACTCCTATCGCCATGAGGAGACTAGGTTGTCAGATAGAAATGAATCACAATAATTTGATAGATAGCTCACCCTTTAACAGAAGTGTCTTTTGTGGTGTCTTGGAGTACATCATGGTTGATTCTGATTCTGATCAGCCCCCTCACCGTGAGCTCTTTCCCGTGGGTTTCTCTTCGGCTTGACTTGAGTTAGTTGACGCCATCTCTTGGCCTAACTAATCTTTATCATGGGTTTGAGCGGTCTACATTCAATCGGCTTTTGGCCCTATTTTAGGGGGTGTACTTGGTCAAGTCCTTTAATCTTTTAGTAATGAGTCTTTTAGTCTCCCGTCGGTATATAGGCATTCTCGACTGCATGTCTTCATCTATAAGTCTCTTGAATCTCTTCAAAATTCTTGCTAATGCTTTTCTAATGTATAAAAATGACACTATATTTAAAATACAACTCAAAATAATAAAAAAGTATTCCAAAAGTTAAACAACTAAAATATTCAATGAGAAATCTTAAAAACTTTTATTCTCTCCTTATTTATTGTACTTCACCCATTATACCGACAATAGGCGATATGACTGTGATGATCACCACATTTATTAGGGAAATCTATTATTCATATATGATTGGTCTTAAATCAACTTTCCACGCACGCATAAATGTATAGCTTGCATATCCATGATTTTAAATAAAAAAAATATATATCGAGTCAAGTTAAATTTGATGCATAAAAACTGTATGTATATATTAAATTTGATTGCATGCCCACCTTATTAATGTGTGTGTGATATCTATATATATATATATATATATATATATATGTAAATAAGATAGATCAACAATTCACTCATCATTGACAACTGGAGAAAGCCTAGGCTGCCTGGCTAATTCACAACATATGTAAAGAATATGGTCAATCAACATAAGATTATAAGGACTAAAATCAATCTTTAAAAAAAGGTAATCAACTCACTTTATTAATCATTCACATCAGAAATACATAATTTTTTAGTCATAAAATCACATGGGATGACTAAAACAGTATTTATTCGTGCATGTGGGCAAAGTTACGATAGAAACCAGCAGCTAAATATTGGCAAATGTAATATTGCGAGTAGTGACAGCCGGAGTCGGTGCAGCCTTTAGGAAGAGAAACGGCGAATCCTGATATCTAATGGCATAACTCTTAAATATAACATAGCATCCTCTCAGGTCTCCACAAGAAGACTCTAAAACACCGTACGCCGCATCCAAACCTTTGAGGCACTCCGGTCCTTGGAGATCTGACGTGCAATGTGCCATTCCATGGATGGTAATTGTGTCGTTGTTTTTGAGATCATTGCTCTCAATCTCCCCCCACCCAAACTTCCTGCTGTCTCCACTTGATGCCGCCAATCCTACCCCAATAAATAGCTCTTTCAATACCTTCTTGAACGTCTGCGGATCCTCCATCTTATCCGTCGATGTCCACACACCGAGCACGTTCGTATCCATCTGCCCGATGAAGTTGGTGGTGCTGTAGCGAAGAGAGCACTGTTGGTACCAAATGCGTGATTCAGTCGTATTCGCGCATGATGTTCGTATCTCTTGTCCGGCAGCGATGATGCATGCAGAGCAATCTTGGCCGTTTATGTCTCCTCGGCACTCCGCGGTGCCGTAGACGGTGTCGTTGCCGGAACCGAAGGTGCAGTTGGCGAAGCCAATATCAGCAGTTCTTGTCACCAGGTCGAGAATGACACTGTTGACATTGCCTTGCAACGCGCCATTGTTTGCGGAGGTGTTTCCACATTCTTTGGCGATTAAATCGGCACCGTGGGCGATGGACGCAACGGAGAGGAGGAGAAAGAAGAGGAAGAAGAGCTGGTTTGAGAAAGCCATATATCACTTATCTCCACCAGCTGTAATTAGCTTATTATGAATTCAGCTATGCTTCCTTAAGCTTTCCTATATTGAGATAACAAGGTGACATAGCTATATATATTGATTTGTAGTGAAGGTTCTAATTAACAATGCCGCCGTACTGCTGCCATGTGTTAACCAGGCAATTAGATAAAAGATTGAATTGGTAAAAACTTATTCTTTCTCTTCTCCGAATTAATAAATTGGAACGGCATGCAATTTGAGCCTCTTTAGATGTTGACTCAGTTATATATGGGGCATTTTCAAACATACCACACAATTCTTAAGAATTTATATGTCTAACACCTAAACGTTCATATTTATATACATACAACTCAAATCTATAACAACACATAAAATAAAATCCTTATTATTTTTTTTCAAAGTGAAATACATTTTTTCATACATAAATTTATAATACGAACATGTTATAGTGTATATATCAAATTTTATGTGTTAGATATGCAGAAACCGCCAACCTGACCACTAAAAGCTTAACATCCGGACAGAGTCCAGGAAGGTTTTTTGGTGAGACTTCATAGGGTTAGTTATATATGGTGTTTCGCACCGTTCAATGAGAATAATATATTGATGCCCAATTCACTGCTTGACTCACTGAGGTTGGAGAACGTATAATTTCCAAGACTTTCTTTCTTGAGACACTTTTGTATTTGTTATTATAATTATCATGATTTTATTCATTGTGCTTGTCATCACGTCATTTGTGGTTATTTTTATGCGATTTTATATTGTGTTAGACCATATGTGTGTAGTTATATTGTGTTTTGTGTTATGATTGTTGGTCTATAAATGTTGTTGGGCTAGGGGCTATATGTATTATATATATATATATAAAGAAGTTTTATTAAATAAATTAATATCCTTTTCCAGATGCTTCAATGATATAATTCTCTTCTTATGTAATGCTTACATATGTTAGGTAACAAGTAAGAATTAAAATAGCCTTGAATTATGTGGTTGACAAAACTTCGAAAAATTAATTATGAACGAGTCTTAAATTAGTAGCTTGCTAGCTTAAATATCAAGGTTGAATCTTAACATATATTAAAATTTAATCGTTGTAATATTTTAAAAACTATTTATTTTATTGTTATATATAATAAATTTTATTATATTGCATCTAATTTCTTATTTTTCTAATAATTTATGATACTTACAAAATTGAATTATAATCATCTACAATAGCTACATGAGCTCATAAAAGCTGACTTGAGTTCAACTCGACACGAGATGGTGCCAACAAATTAAAAATGTTCAAAGGAATTGGTTGAGTCCAGTTATCAACTAAATTAACTTTCCATGTTAATGTTCTTATCTTATTTCTCAACAATTCAAATGGCAGAATCGATCAGCTTGAATTGTCTTAATTGCTGCTTTCAATTATGCAATTAAAAGCAAATGGGTAAATTTGAGTTGATTATTTCAACTAGCTCAAGCAATTTTATTATATTGTTTAATCCAGTTTGGCTCTTTACTAGTATAATATATATATTTTTAACATGATTTCATATATATATATATATATATATGCAATTCTTATGTATTTACATTTCTAACCCTTGATGTTTGAAATAATGTAATTCGATTTTAAGAAGATAAAAATGCATGCATTTTATTGTGATGTTACAGATTTGTGTGGTATGCATGTAAATTTGAATGTTTAGTTGTTAGATATGTAAATACATTAGAAGTGTGTGGGATGTATGTAAATCCCCCATATATACTAAATCAAATCAAAAGCGGCTCAAATTGCATGCCGTCCCTATTTTTTAATGAGGAGGAAAATGAGTTATCACCAGTCAATCTTTGATCGCCTGGTTAGCATATGGCAGCAGTACTGCGGGCATGCATTTTTTAATTAGAACCTTCAATATATAAATATAGATATCAGTACAAGAAGCTTAACAAGCTCAATTGAATTCATAATAAGCTACAATTATAGCTGGTGGAGATAAGTGCTCCATGGCTTTCTCAAACCATCTCTTCTTCTTCTTCTTCCTTCTTCTCCTCTCCCTTGCTTCCTTCATCCACGGCGCCGATTTCATCGCCAAAGAATGTGGATCAAACATTACCAACAATGACGCCTTGCAGGCCAACATCAACAGCATCATTCTCGACTTGGTGACAAAGACTTCCTCCGCTGGCTTCGGCAACTCCACCTACGGCTCCGGCTACGACACCGTTTACGGCACCGCGGAGTGTCGAGGAGACATCACCGGCCAAGACTGCACCGCATGCATCATCGCTGCCGGACAAGAGATACGTACAACATGCGCGAATGCGAACGAATCACACATTTGGTACCAGCAGTGCTCTTTTCGCTATAGCACCACCAACTTCTTGGGGCAGGCGGACACGACCCTACTCGGTGTGTGGCGCTCCGCAGTTGCGACGAAGGATCCGCAGGGGTTCAAGAAAATATTAAAAGAATTTTTTTCAGTGTTAACGGTGGCTGCATCAACAAGTGGAGAGAACCGGAAGTTTGTGTGGGGGGAGATGGAGAGTCGGAGTAAACTCACAAACGGGGAGGAAGTAACTACCGTTTATGGAATGGCACACTGCACATGGGACCTGGACGAATCGACATGCGCGGCGTGTTTGGGTGCTGCGTTCAATATTATAAAAGAAGAAAGGGAGGGAGCCTATATTATCCTGAAGAGCTGTGAGATTAGACATGAGAGTATGCCGTTTCTCTTCGTAAATGCAGCACCAAGTCCTACCGCCAATATTCGCAATATTACATACAGCAACATTTGATTTGGTGGTTTTGTTTAACTTTTTCTTTGTGGTTTGTGTTCCCATCTCTGCCGCATGCATGCATGATTTATTGGCGGTACAATAAATATTTATTGTAATAGTTCTGTTTTTATGATTTATTTAATCAAGCGACCGGTTGATGTTTTTGGTTATGAATGATGTGTCTATGACTAAGGCCATGATTTTAATCCTTATGACTTATTTAGTTTTATTCAGATTGTTATTGCTTAGTTCTTTAAGGATTTAGGTTTTAGAATCCTAAAAACGAAAGAAATGTCAACATAACCATCTCAGACCATAAACTAAAGTGAACTTTACATATATGAGTCAAATGGTCGAACCTAATCTACGAAATAAAAGCACCAAGGAGTGAAATATTTCAACTTGACACTTTGGGGCTTACAATCCCACTTATATAGGGCTATCAACTAACTTCACATGCACATCAAAATCATGAGTTTATGTCATCTTCATGCAAGGAGTTGGTAGGCTATTAGTTTTTTTAGAAATAAGTATTTCAACTGGATCAAGAAGATCAAGTAGCCTTGCAAATGTTTTTGCTCTATTTTTTAATTAGTTTGACTCGATATATTTTTTCTTTTTTGATTCATGACCTTGGATATGCAAGCTATACATGCGTGCATGCATGGAAAGTTAATTTAAAGCCAATCATATGCAAATCATAGATTTCCTCGATATAGGTGATGATCATAACGAGCAATGGGTGAAAGACAAAAAAATAAGGAGAGAGCCAAAATTTCTATGGTTTCAAGTTGATTTTAATTGCTTAACTTGTGGGTTATGATTTTATTTTTATTTTGAGTTGTATTTTTAAAATTTAGTTCCATTTGTTTGTTGGTTTTCAAAACCAAACTTTAGACGCCAACAAAAATAGAGGAATTTTATTTAGTAGTTCACCCACCCTCTACATTTTCTGGTTTAATTTATAAGCAAATACATCACATTTTTTTGAAAATAAAACTAACTAACCACTTAACGGTTTTCCTAACCACCTAACCACAAAACGGTTTTCAAAACTTCCTAATCCACATGAAAAATGTGCAAAAATACATAAACAATTTCTAGAGACAACTAGATTAACACAATATTGTTAAGTTGTTTACGCTGGGCAGAAACTATAGCCTAATGATATTAACAAGGCTAGTCCTAGGCACATTACACAGAAAAAAAAAGTTAAGAAAAATATGTATTTTCTTAGCCAATCAAAGTAAATTACAAGCACAAAAATAGCACAAATACAAAGAAAAATTAAATAAAAGATAATCAGCTAGTGTGACCGAGTTCTATTATACACCCAGAAAGAAAAGAAGAAGGCCATGTGAGCTCTGCCCATATGTCACCCAGTTCAAACCCTAGAATTATGGAAATGGCCTATTGTTTACTTTCATCCACCATTTTCAAGCGGGTTCATCCTTCATAGTACGGGTCCTCCAGGCTTTGTAAGGTATCGATAGTGCTCCTCATAATCACATATACATGTCTTAACTTAGTTCTATCAATTATATTTGAAAATAAAAGGGCCTAACTAAATTTCTACAAGATAGAGATTAGTATGAAGCACATCACAATAGCACCAAGGGAAGAGAGGCTTGAGGAATAAATTATAATTTCTAGAACTAATTGCTCTCTCTTTATTGCTCTCTATTGCTCTCTCTTTAAAGGGCAATAGAGAGCAAGTTAGTCCTTCGATGTATCTCGGTGTAGAGTTCACAGATACTACGAAGGAGAGAACTAATCCAAGGGAAGGGAGGCTTGAGGAATAAATTATAAAATAAAATACCTCTTTAAATATAATCATTATGAGCATATATATATATAAATCATGCAAACAATATCTTCATTACATTGAAATTATTAATAATTTATTCCACATCAAAACTCATCATAAAATTATTTTCAATATATGTTATCAATGATCTAATAAGAAAATAATATTGTCTTATCAATCTTCATAACTAAAAAAACAACTGAAGGTTTGATGTTAGATATGTAAACACTTAGGAACGAAGTGGTATATATGTAATTTTTTCCAAATTAATTTTAGAATCATCACTGCTACTTCTATAAAACCCGATGAATCTTAACATTCTATTTGTTGGCATTAAGTCATGATTAAGAATACATCTAAATTCAAAAGTATTATCAACAAAATTTCAGAATATACACCAAATTTTCATTAATTAGCAACGTGAAATGTATGTAACTTTTTATTGTAAACACACAGGTTGAGCACAAAACATTAATTTAAATATTGCAAAAAAATTGCACTATTAAGAGTGTGTTTGGGGCAGTTTGTGCGTTTCAGGATAAGCTGCTTATCCCGAAACGCGGCCCGCGGGCTGGCCGAGGGTTCGGCTCGCGGTCTGCGTTTATTGTAAAAACTCAAATGCAGTTTCAGATAAGCAGGTGAAACGCGCGAACCAAACGGTACGGCGGCGTTTTAAAAACGCTGTGCGCACTTATAAGCTGCCCCAAACGGGCCCTAAGTTATAACTTGTACTACCACCATATGTTTGATGGGCAAATGAGATGATTTAAAAAGTGAATGAAGTAATAAATAAGATGAAAATCGTAAGAAGTTTTGGACATTTGCATGCTTATATCTGCTAGTTGTACAGCAAACGAGTCATGCTGATTCATGATTTATTTTGGGTTAGACTTATAGATGACTACTGAGTTTAGCTTGATAAGCCAATAATTCAAATTGCATGGTTCTAAAAATTAAACCGCGCAGACCTGTTGAACCAGTTCAATTGTGAATCGATCATTCAACAGCTTGATCCGAGCTTTGAATCATTTATGCATTGAACCGATCAGAATCAGGATTGAAAAGGTCAGAACAGGGGTTAAACCAATGAACCAATACCATTTTTAAAGAAGCTTCCAATTCAAATATGTTTCGAATTTAGCCAATTGATTTTGAACAAATGACCACAAATTAAATATTTATATAAAAAAAGATAAAATATGATTGTCTTAAATTTTTTTATTTACGATATTGTTTAAAATATTCAAAATTGTTGTCTTAAATTACAATATTATTTGTTGAATCAATAAAAATAATATTACTAAATCATTATTTTATTATTTAATTTATATTAAAATAATTTAAATATTCAAAATATTCAAAATTGTTGTCTTAAATTACAATATTATTTGTTGAATCAATAAAAATAATATTACTAAATCATTATTTTATTATTTAATTTATATTAAAATAATTTAAATATTCAAAATATTCAAAATTGTTGTCTTAAATTACAATATTATTGATGTCCAATACGATTTTCACAACCTTGTAATTTAATAGACATACTTTCGTACATACAAATAAAATAAGATTTTTACTACTATTTTATGGGAGAGACTTTAGGTCATGTATAATGACTAACTTGGGTAACAAATCTCATGCAACCATGTCCTCAAAAACATTTTTGAAGTTCCTATCCAATTGTCTTTTAATTCATCTTTGTCTTGTCCTTTTCACTTATAATTTTATGTACCTTCCCATGCTTCATGAGTGCATTTATAAATACCTACTAGACAAGTCTAACATGCATCCTAGTTCTCCAAGGGTCATAGCCCTGTAAGTCAACAAACTTTTTAATATCAAACTACATAGCCATAATGTATTTTATAACCTCACTCTATCACCAACATTAAAAAAAAGTGTGCCCTTGACATGAGGACAAATAGGAACTAATAGCTAGCTAGATGGTAATAACAAAGTATATTATTACATGAGAAAACATTTTTCTTTTATCTCATATGGCATCTCTTTGCACTCTCATTTACTCCCCATCCTATTTTCTTACTTTTGTTAATGAATTCTTCAATAATACAATCAACTCCTTCTATAATAATTACATATGATAGAAAAAAAGCCAAATTTTACAAAACTTTGAATTTTATAATTATCATTTTGAAAAATTAAATGTGAATGAATTAATCTTAAAGTAGGTCAACCACCGTGTTAAAAAAAATAAGTTTAAATTGAGTTATGTATGTAAAGGTGATAGTCTGGGAGACTCCATCAAATTGTTGTCCAAATTATTGTATTTATTATTCACCATTGAATAAATCTTAAATTAGTAGCGATCAATCTTAAATATCATGACTAAATATTCACATATATTAAAATTAAATGGTTAAAGTATAATATTCTGAAAGATAATTGAAAAATATATATCTTTTATTCTTAAATAAAATAAATTTTCTTATAAATATTTTCATCTATTTTCTTATTATTCTAATCATTTTATCAAAGCAATAATTTGAATTAAAATCACCTTCTCTTTTCTATAACAAATGAGCTAGCTTTAACTCATAAATTTGAGCTCAAACTTGATTAATTAAGTGCTAATAGATGGTGCCAAGAACTTAAATATGTTCAAAAGTATTGGTTGAGTACATAAATCAAGTAAATTTTCTATGTTAATTAACTATCTTATCTTTTGTTATGCCAATTCAAATGGTAGAATCAGTCACTTTGAATTAACTTATATTTATTATTATTTAATTAAATTTGAATGAGTCAATTTGATTTATATTATTTCAACTAGCCTTAGCACTTCTATGCACTTTACTGAAATTGTTTTGCCTACATACTAGTATAGTTGAATCTCATGGAACTACTCCTCCATTTGGTTCTTTTGGCTCGTTCATATAATCTTAATAATTATATTTGAGTTTTTGATTGAACTCTCTTAGGATATTAGAGCAATGGATTGTGAAAAGTACAACATAAGAAAACGATGATTGACAAACTTTAGAGATGCTATAATATTTATAGATGTAATATATATATATATATATATACACACACACACACACACAATATACAACTCTTATGTATTTACAAATCCAATAATAAAAAATTGATATTTACACATATATCACCTTGCTGCCATAAATTTATACTTGGTATTTCACTTTAAACTAATTATATTGATGGAATTTTGATGTCATGTTACAAATTTGAGTATGCATGTAAATATGAATGTTTTGGGGTTAAATATAAAAATACTAAGGAAAAGTGTGGTATGTTTGAAAATGCCCCGTATAAAACCAGTTCCGAATCCGAAGAGGCTCAAACATATGCCACTAGCCACGGATGTCCAACTGCCGTCCCAATTTATTAATTCGGAAAAGAGCAAGAGTTATCAAACATATGCCACTAGCCACCAATTCAATCTCTTATCTAATTGCCTGGTTAACATATGGCAGCAGTTCTGCTGGCACTGTTAATTAGAACCTTCACTATAAATCAATATATATAGCTATGTCACCTTGTTATCTCAATATAGGAAAGCTTAAGGAAGCATAGCTGAATTCATAATAAGCTAATTACAGCTGGTGGAGATAAGTGATATATGGCTTTCTCAAACCAGCTCTTCTTCCTCTTCTTTCTCCTCCTCTCCGTTGCGTCCATCGCCCACGGTGCCGATTTAATCGCCAAAGAATGTGGAAACACCTCCGCAAACAATGGCGCGTTGCAAGGCAATGTCAACAGTGTCATTCTCGACCTGGTGACAAGAACTGCTGATATTGGCTTCGCCAACTGCACCTACGGCTCCGGTAACGACACCGTCTACGGTACTGCGGAGTGTCGAGGAGACATCAGCGGCCAAGACTGCTCCGCATGCATCATCGCCGCCGGACAAGAGATACGAACATCATGCGCGAAGACGACTGAATCACGCATTTGGTACCAACAGTGCTCTCTTCGCTACAGCACCACCAACTTCATCGGGCAGATGGATACGAACCTGCTCGGTGTGTGGGCATCGACGAATAAGATGGCGGATCCGCAGGCGTTCAAGAAGGTATTGAAAGAGCTATTTATTGTACTAGGATTGGCGGCATCAAGTGGAGAAAGCAGGAAGTTTGGGTGGGGGGAGATTGAGAGCAATGATCTCAAAAACAACAAGACAATTACCATCCATGGAATGGCAAAGTGCACATCAGATCTCCAAGGACCGGTGTGCCTCAAATGTTTGGATGCTGCGTACGGTGCTTTAGAGTCTTCTTGTGGAGACCTGAAAGGATGCTTTATTATTCTTAAGAGTTGTTCCATTAGAGATGAGACTTCGCCGTTTCTCTTCCTGAATGCTGCACCGACTCCGGCTGTCACTACTCGCAATATTACATTTGCCAATATTTAGCTGCTGGTTTCTATCGTAACTTTGCCCACATGCACGAATAAATACTGTTTTAGTCATCCCATGTGATTTTATGACTAAAAAGTTGTGTATTTCTGATATGAATGAATAACAAAGTGAGTTGACTCCCTCTTTTTTAAAGATTGATTTTAATCCTTATAATCTTGTGTTGTATGATCATATTCTTTACATGTGCTGTGAATTAGCTAGGCTTTTTCTCCAATAGTCAATGATGACTGAATTGTTGATCTCATTGTTATTATGGTTGATCTCTCTCTCTCTCTCTCTCTCTCTCTCTCTCTCTCTCTCTCTCTCTCTCTCTCTCTCTCTCTCTCTCTCTCTCTATATATATATATATATGTCACACACACATTAATAGGGTCGACATATATCTCCTTAGCTTTCTCCTTAACTCATAGAGCCCATTTTTATACCTAAGACTCCTTAGTGCATCATAGGTGGTTTCTTTCTGACTTTTGTGTATGGCTAAGACAATTTAAACACTCCTTCAGCTCAGTTTGAATTCTATCATATTATAAATTAGAGACAGCAATAAGATCATGCAAAATCATGGAAGTTAAGCTAAATATTAATATGTTCGCTTTCATGCTTGCTCTGCTCATCTCAGTCATTGTCTAAGCCATCCAAATGATGCCGATAGAAAAACAGACAATGTAGATCCATCTGGAGGGCTGAAATTATACAAGCAAAGATCTAAATAACATAAAAGAGACCCATGCAAGAGGGAAACAACCCACGCATCGTGCGCCAGCCCGCAATGTCCCGCTTGCTTCGGATCTTTCATGCAAATCCAACCTCCTCATTCTGTCAGCTTCGCTCTAGCCTCATCGTAGCTATAAGAACTCTCTTACATTCCTAGTCCCTATACAAAACCGAGCGACTCCCTTTCCCAATTCACGACTCCCTTTCGCAATTCATGAACGTCGCCATCCAGCATGTCTCCTCAACTCTCGTCCAAGCCGCAACCCCTATACTTCATTGGTCTAAACAAGCATCACAAACCGAACTCGCACCGCACTTCCTATTTCCCTCTCTACTGTCCATCTCTTTATCAATCTAGAAATAAACTAGAAAAGGAGAGTCTAGAAAAGTTTGTGTTGTGTATTTGCCGAAGTCCCGCCGCATTCTCATCATCTTCACATCACACGTGAAGGTAAACAAAGTTGCATTTCTAAACTTACATACTAATTATTTTATAGGGTCCCTTCTCCTGGAGGCCTGAGCACCACTCACAATTATGAGGATCACGTCAGGCATCGACTACGTCATATGTTTGACTGCACGTAGAAAGGGAGAGTGATCAATCTAGATTGGGAAAAAGAAATGAGTGGAGTTGTTTAGATTATAGGCCACTATGGCGTATCAGAGGATGATGGACATGAACTTAGCAGAACTAGAGGATCAAGGGAGTTAGAGGTCTCGCACTCCACATTACATGATTGGCCCCACACAAAAAGCGCTATCAAAATTTTATAAGATTCACTCAAGACTCGAACAATTTAATGATGCGAGTACTTGATGCTTACAATTTTTTCATGTCCACAGGCATAAGAACTTGGTCGACCACTCACCACTACGGAGTTGCATGTCTGGATGTACCAGCGCACGGGGAGGCAATAATGGGTGACCATCCTATCTCAGTGTGTCTATAAAAGTAAACAAAAAAAAATGATTTTCTATAGTTTAGTTACATTTTTAATATAAAACGTTAATTATTTATTGGTTTTAATTATATCTGATGACTGCAGTATATTTGGGAAATGCAAAGCAAGAGTCATACTCAAAGCTTGATAGCCGCTAGTAGTAGTAATAGTCAGTCTGCTCCAGAGCACTCTGACTATGAGATTTAGAGGCAGGTTGCTAGGAAGAAGAATAGAAGGGTATATGACATTGGCACTAAGGGTATTGCGTTTGAGGTCGATCATTCCGGATCTATTTAGTGCTTGAGGTTGTCATCATCTGAGCATGACAAACTTGTTCGGCGTGTCACTTCTACGACTGAGGAGCTTCGTTAGCTACATAAGGGGCAGCACACACTACAGAAGAAGCCAATATTAGCATCTAACATTTGTGTCGCAATTTTTCAAAGCAAATATTAGTGTTAGATTTGCGAGTGGTGATCGGTGAATAATAATTTTTTTAATAATTACGTTGGGATTTTTGTTGATTTGTGTCAGAAAATTCATTGGAGAAATTACTCTGAAAATAATAAAACTTTGTTTAGAGTAGTGGTGGTTTTTACATCGTATTTGCGTTAGATTATGCGACACAAAACATTTATGTGTTAGCGTCGAACTAAGTGAGACACAAATCCGGCGGAAATCTAACACAAATGACATAATATTTTCATCTTTCATGCCTAAATTTCATTTATTTCCTCTCTGAGCTATGTTTTCCTCCCGCCTTCTTGAATCCCTCACTCTCTGCTTTCCTTCTCTCCTTTCTCTCACCCTTGTGGCTTCACTCAAAACCATTGTCTGTCTCGATACAGTCACCATTAAGGCTAGCAAGCTCAGCTGGGAAGGTAACAATGGCACTCGACTTACAGAGACTACCAAAACTCTCATAGTTCTCAATATCCTTCCGCTACGCTCCAATCAGAAAACATTTAGGAAGGTAATTTCATTTTCGCCTTTAAATTGTTGTCATTTAAATTTTTATTTAGTTATATAAAAGTTGAAGTTTATGTGTTAGGTATGTGATGTATATAATGTGGTGGTATGTAAAAGTTGAAGTTTAGGTGCTAGGTATGTATATACATAAGAATTGAATGGTATGTATGAATATCCTAATAAAAAATGAAGCTAAGGTGTTTGCTATGTATATACATAAGCATTGAGTGGTATGTATGAAATTTTCATAAAAGTTGAAGTGAAGGGGCTAGCTATGTAAATACAGAAGTATTGAGTGGTATGTATTTTCTTATTAGTAAAATTCAAGTTGGTTGGTTGAAGTAAAGCAATATATGCATCGAGTCTTGTCCAAGTTGATGATAATATAGAAGGGGATGTTTTACTGGAATTCATGTTGGTTGGTTAAAGTGGAGGAATGCCACAATCGTGCCTATTGTTCAAAATGATGGTGATATAGATGGGGATGTTATTAGTAGAATTTAAGTTGGTTCGTTGAATTAGAGGAATGCATCGATCCGTCAAATGTTCGAAGTGAGGGTGACAAAAATAGGGATGTTATCGGTTGAATTAATGTTTGTTGGTTGAATTAGAGGAGGCCAATGGGTCTTGTTTAAGTGCGGTGATATAGATGAGTTTGTTATCAGTAAAATTCAAGTTGGTTGCTTGCAGTTGGTTGGTTGACCAAGTAATGTTGACTTATTACTGTAAGTATTGACTATTTTTTTATTTTCGTAGTAGTGCACTGACTCGTAAAACTATGTTGCAGATGTATATATATAATTTATTAACTTGGATGTACAACATATTATATCCAAGGCAAAAAAGTCTCACAAATGAGTTCTTGAGTGGCGTTGTAGAATTCGTGTAGGTGGCATCACAGCTGCTCATCTACTGTAAGAGAAAGTTCTAGAGTCCTTGTACGAAACACAAAGTTAAAGAACATCTGTCACCCAAATAAGTTAAATTGGATTTTTACTGTAAGGAATCCAAACCTTATTATTGGTATTGGACTACGCTTGGTGACAAATAACTGAAGTTCAACTTGAACAATGGGTGCCTCGGCAAGTTGTGCTACTCTTGACACTTATGAAGAAATGGATCATGATGCTCAGGGAGCTCAATTTATTGGGAGTTTTTTAACACGAAGTTGAAACACCAAATAATGAAATACAATAGTTTTATGGCTTACTGAATGCTTCACAACAACATTTATGAGCACCACACATACATTGTTATCAGTGGCACTTAAAATGATGACCATCAAATCTGATTTTAACATGTCTAGAGAATCATTCAATCTGGCAGCAAATTAATTGAAAGAGATTAACCCTACAAAAAATTTAGTGTCGGATGCTCCCATATAAAATGAAAAAGTTGTTTTCATAGTTAAGGTTACGATGCGAGAAGATCAATTGTTATGTTAGTTGGTGCATGATATATTACGAGGCCGATACAGTTGAGATGACTTGTCGATTTTGTGATGTGGAAATATTCAAACAAAGGGGGAGAAAGAATAAAATCAGAAAAATAATCCATACATGCTTTTATTCTTATTTTTATTTTTATTTTTCTCATACCCCGACTTTAAATATTGTTCGCTTCCATGTGTACAGCCTCACACATGACTTGCCACAATACTGGATATGTTGATGCTAACTCTATGAGTCTTCTGTCACATGGCGGGCATGGAGACATTTTGACAGTACTTACCCAGAATTTGTAGCTGAACTACGCAATGTTAGACTTGGGTTATATGTGGATGGCTTCACCCTTTATATTCAATAAATGACCACTATATTCAATGTAAAACTTATGTGTTACAGATTTTTAAATAAAATAAAAAAGTAGTTAAGAATAAAGCACATCACGAGGCATCGATTTGCAAAACATATCTATTGTAGGAGATGATAACTTTTTGCTCATATTATTATGATCAAGACCGTCAAAGAGTTCATATTTTAGGTGACATGCCCCGACAACCAGAATTATCCGTATATCAAATATTAGGTGAGTTATCAGGGAGGACATGACACACAATATCTAAGCAATAAGGAGATTCGTGCAACCGCATTGTATATCCTGATAAACTGTGACAAAGTCTGACCATTTATACAACAAGATTCCCGGTCCCCAAACTCAATGCATACTGTCATTTATTATCGAGAATGTTAGCTATATACTAGTCGTCGCTAAGCCGTTGATAATTATATTTCTTATGTTTTTTACATTATTACCGACGGCATTTGACCGTTGGTAATAAGCTAAATTCATGCAATGACAACCTAAGAACTTCTCGAAACTATCTAATTCAAATGATTTTGACTCAACAAGCTTAGCAAAGCTTCCTAG